ATAGCCAAGTAACCAACTCCATCATTCAGCCCAATTTGCATAAGTTGTAATTTAACCAAATTTATACTGAGACCCAAACCTCTTAAAAAAATAATAACATACATTTGGTGTCAAGAATCATCCTGTCATTAGGTTCACAAGATAATCATGTCATCCACAAAAAAAGAGATGAGTAACATCCACTGCCAGCTCGCCTCCCCCATCATCTGTGTAAGAGAGAAGTTGAATCCTGTAATCATATTCCTATGATGCCCTGCTATGTATAAGTTATAGATTATGGTGTGTGAGTTACTAAGGATTAGTTGGGTCATAGCTGGCTTGGTTAGAGACGAGATTTGGGCCTAGAAAGGAAGGGAATTAGTAAGGGGAGAACTTGTTGGACTCATTCATCTTACTATCTTTTGCACGGTATGGAAGAGAGAAACAAGAGGATTTTTTAGGAGGTAGAAGTGGAGTTTAGTAGAATCAGGGACAGATGGCTCCAGTATTTGGGTATATTGGTTATAGGATATTTTATTCATTCGTTAGAGGATTTTTTGGGATTTAAAGGCATAATCACTTATTTATAAATACTTTTATACATAGGTGGCACTCCCTTGATGTTTGTGAATTAATGATCATAGTATAACCTTTATTTCAAAAAAAAAAAAAAGCAATGATACATTGACTTTGGGTGGATATGGATGTATTTGTTTTGGAGCCTTTTGTTAGAAGGTTCTATGGGGATATCTTATCCTCCATCAACGTAGTTCACTCTTTCCTGTCTTTATTTATCTAGAATAAATAAATCGTACCTTCTTGTCACTTCCAATAGAAATCAGCGCTAAATGTGACAAGTTGACATGGAGCCTCACAAATACTTATAATTCACCATATTGTCTACCCAAATGCTTTCCTTTCACGTTGTTGATATTTTGTGTCAGTATGCTATCTAGAGGTACTGCTAAAGGTTTGATTGAGAACATGAGAGTTGGTCATGATAGGATAGAAGTGTTCCATCTTGGTTGGTATAATACTTTTCCTCTCTTATGATCATGCAATGTTCTATTATGTAGTCATCATCTTACATGTCTTCAAGGGTATATCGGGTTTGTAGATTAACTTTATGAAGAGAGGTCTACAGGTCTTAACGCGGAGGAGTAAAATGTTTGAGATTCGGCCGATTTTGTTGGTTGAGACGTCTAGAATGAGCTTTTATTATCTCGGTGTCATTCTGGGGGGTAATCCTAATTGCTCAGGATCCTGTTGTAAGTAGAGTCTCTAAGTGTCTAAATTGTTGGAAGGATGCTCTTCTTTTTTCCCGGGATGGTAGAGTCACTCTTCTTACATGTCTAGCAGTCTCCTCCACTCTTCTTGTATACCTGGCATTCTCCTTCACTCTCTTTCTCTTTTTTAAATTTCTAGATATGTGGCAGAAAGAATAAAGAAGACGATGAGGAATTTCATTTTTTCGGGGTCTACTGAAGTCCGTCTGTCACCAAGATTCTCAGCAACCAAACAGAACGCCATAATAAACCCAATTTCTTATAATCAGACAACATTAGGACTGGTAACAGAAATGACAATGACAAAAGCGAAGAAATGCGAAAAATGGATAAAAGAGTACCTCGGGAGTGGCTCGAGGGTAGTGAATTCCAGCGGAGATGAGCATCCGGCGCTTGCCGTCAATGATCAGAGCCCTATGGTCGTAGCTCACATTGAATGGCTTGAAGAAATTGGCCCAGGCAAGCTGAATAATCATCAGATACACTAGCAAGCATTGAAGCAAACCAAACCTTAGCTCCATCTTCCGTAATTCAGTCTTCAGTTTCACTAAGGATCGCGACGGGGATTAGCAGATAATGTTAGGATGGAAAGAGGAAAGAGTGCAGTAACCGGCGAAGCTGGCGATTAGCATCAACTAACATAATGATTGATAATAATTTATTGATGTACTTATCGGATTGGCTGGGTTTTTGCGGGTCTCCATTAGGTAGAAGATGAATTTTATCATCATCATTTAGTTTCTGAATAAAATTAATTTTCAAATTGTTTTCAAACTTATAAAATTATTTTGATTTATTACTTTTTTAAAATAAAATGTTGACAGAAATTCACTATGTATTTTACTTATTTTATTTTTTTTATAGAATTTTAAATTATAATTTATTATTAATTATAATAGATTTAATAAAAATAATGATAAATTTATAAAATTAATTTTTAAATTTTAATATTTATTACAATTTCATTTTTTATTATTTTTATGATAATAGAAAATATTCATTTTCATTTTCATTTTCATTTTTGAATTCTCAGTTCACGCTTTTTGCAGTTCTCTTTTCAAGTCTCTAGGTTGGAGTTAAACCGTGAGGGGGACGGAGAGAGTGAAGTACAAAATGGGAGATCGTATGGAAGCGTCTCCCTCTTCGGAACCGCTGGATCTCGACACTATACGCAGGTTTATTTCTCTCTGTCTCCATCTCCGTCTCTGTCTCTCTTGCATGCGTATAACACACTTCTAACTTTTGTTTCATTGTTTTTTTTTTTTTTTGGTAATATAAATGTTCAGTCGATTGAGAGAGCTCGAAGCTATTCAGAGAAGTTGCAAGGATGATGTGAATGAAGTATCCATGTCCGATTCTGAAAGTTTACTCAAAGACTGTACTCTCCACATTGAGGTAATTTCGGTTTTCTGTGCACATTAAGGTTTCAATTTTGACTCTGTATTGCATTCTTTAAGTTAATTTCTTTTGTTAACTTAATTAGCTTGTTTTTAGTCAACTCTGTTTTATTTTTTGAAGATTTCATGTTGCGTTGAACACTATGAAAATTGTGCAGAACAAGGTCAAGCAGATTGTTGCAGAGTACTCTAACGTTGATTTCTTGGGCATTGAAGATTTGGGTGTGTGTCTTTTTTGATTTTACGCTCTTGTTCGGAGTACGTGGATGCTGCTTGGAATTTTAGTAATATTTCGAAGAATATGTTTAATTTTCACTTAAAAAACATGGACCATAAGGTTGCTATTGAAGTTTCCAATAACTAAAATGAGAACCGAAGGCAACTAAAAATAACTGAAAAAGCTCAATTTAGTGAGATATTATTTTATGAAAGTAAAGATAGTTTTTGTGCAGATTCATACTTGGAGTACTTGAAGAAGGAGCTCCAGACAGTGCAGGCTGAAACTGCAAAGATTTCTTATGAAATTGAGCTTCTCTCAAGAACCAATGCTGAAGGTGACAATTTATAATTCTAATATTATCATGACATTTTTTTAGACATGTATTATCGTAAGTTTTGTTTCCAATGGATGCCTGAACTTTCTGCAGATTCTAATAAACTAGAGAGTGATCTTGAAGGTTTACTGTGTTCTTTGGATTTCGTTGAATCAAAGGTTATTTCTCCCAACTCCAGTCACTGAACTTTCTAACTTGGTTACTCTATGATAAGAATAAACAATTCAAATTATAAGTTGCCTTTTTTGGTAAATAAGATCTAATCAACAGATAAATGGTTGTTTTCTTCATGGTATTATTGTTTATTTGAATTCATAACCTAAGCATCTTCATTATGTCTCACCTTTTAGGGTATGGAGGAAGCAAAAGAGGATCCACTTAATTGCTATACCGGTGGAGAAGATCAATCAAATTTGACCAATGCACACAGAGATGAGAAGTTTGAGGTCTAGCTCTTTGGTCCTTGTTATTTGATACTGTATTATACACATCATAGTGGAGGAAGTTAATATTTGTGTGATCTTATTTGGAGCGCGGAGTAATATTGACAGAAATCCCAAATGATGAGTAGATGTGATTTTGATTGTGCTCTATCTTCTCAGTTCTAACCATGTCTTACAATGTGCTCGTGTTGATACATTCATTGTTTTCACGAATAAAATGATAATGACGGTTTATGACAAAACTTATGGAGAACTATATTTCAGTATTTCGTACTTCACTCTCTTATGACTCTTTCATATACCTTTCAGATTTTGGAACTTGAAAGTCAAATTGAGAAGAACCAAATAATTCTGAAGTCCTTTCAGGGTCTTGATTCTATGTTTAAAAGGTAATTTGGCTATAGAATTATGTTTTTTATGTCATATATCTTTTTGGTTCTGTTGAAAGATACACACGTGCACACGCACACGCACACACACATGTATGTCTGTGTGTGTGTGTACATATATTCGAAGAGCCAAAGCCCATACTTAATTGGGGAATCAGAACCCCAAACAATGACTCATCCACGTATCTTAGATAGAGAGAAGTACCGCAGAGGCTGATGGCTCTTCGTGAAAGAAAAAGTACCTTACCCTTTCTTTTATTACTTTCAGATTGAATGTTGTAGAGCAGATTGAGGATTCATTGACAGGTTTAAAGGACATGGAGTTTGACGGGAACTACATTAGGCTGTCTTTGCAAACATATATTCCACAATTAGAAGTCTTAAAGTGCCAGCGAAAAAATGAAGATATTGCTGATCCATCTGAATTGAATCATGAATTGCTAATAGAGATTTTGGATGGCAGTTTGGAACCAAAGAATATTGAGGTATGACTTCCTTTGCTTGTCCATCTTCTCAAATATAAAATTTTGTAGGTATACATGAATTATGACATTATACTCCTTGTCTGAGTTTCTCTCTCTGTTTTTGTGTGTGAAATTCAAAATTTTAGTAAAAATAAATTTTATTGGGGTAATGCAGCTGGTTTCTGGCCCTTGTGCTGCCTCATTTGGTGCAATTTTTCTTTTTATTGGTTGCTTTGGGTATAAAGAGAAAATATGACTTTTAGCTGGCCTGCCTTTTGAGGTGAAACTTCATACCCATTACATGCTGTTCTTTTTGTTGTAAAGATGAGTTCTGCAAATGCTGGTTTAAATAAAACATTGACTTTTAATTTATCTCTCATTTCTTCTTCTAAAACTATTGCTGATTCAATATGTCATTTGATTTCTTTTTTCTTGGATCATGATCTAATTTTTTCTGCTAAGAGCTTATGCTGTTTTGATACTTGGGCCTCATTAGATGGTGGAATCCATGCAGTCTTCTTCGTTTTTCTAAACTTTGCACTGTCTCAAATTGTTATTTGTCTTCATGTCCTTAATTTTGTCCTTTCCCTCCATTTCTGTTGGCTCTTGAAAGTTCCTTTCTTATGCAAATAATCACATATATAATTACCATGTATTTAACATGTTTTAAGAACGATAATTTTTTCACCAATGTGATATAAGTAAAGTTGTTGGCTGAAATCCTACCTTTAAAAATTCAATAGTCTTAAGGACTAATATCTGTTTTAGTATTCCAATTTTTTATTTGGACAGTGACATTCTTTTTTTTGGTCCAGATGTTTCCAAATGATGTATACATAGGTGACATAGTTGATGCTGCAAAGTCTTTCAGGTTTGTACATTTTGAAGGTCGTTGATAGATCTGTAGTTTTATGAACGAATGTTTGTATTTAACATTTAATTTTTATAAGGGAAACTTTTTTTAAAACAGATGTAGTATTAGACAGAGAAATGGATTTCATAGAAGGAGCCTATAAGGTATCCTCCAGGAAAGAAAAAAAAATGCATGGGTCAAAGAAGATGCATTAAGACCAAGTAGGATCTTAATCCCTTCTCAATGTGGATAAAGATACCTCTCTGAAGAAGTTATGAGCCTTAGCATAAATATAATGAAAGCATCATTGTTACCCTAAAGAATAAAGATTGACTGAGATCGTTGCTTAAAACTTTTAACCCTTTACTCCAACCAAAGGACCCATAACTTTGCAAAAATAACTTTGCTTGGGAGGCATATAGATAGTGCATTCTAACCATTGATAAACTAAGGAGGGGTCAGGTGCTGGTAAACGCGTGTTTTCTCTGCAAGAAGGCAGAGGAGAGCTGTAACCACCTATGGTTGCGGTGCCGTACTGTGTATGAGTTGTGGACTTTGGTGTATAGAGCAATTGGGATTAAATGAGTGATGGCTGGGTTGGTTAGGGAAGAGCTGTGGGCGTGGGAGTATCTGAGAAGCAGGTGCACATTTGCTGATCTGATTCCTCTCATCGTTTTGTGGACAGTGTGGAAGGAAAGGAACAAGAGAGCTTTTGGTGGATTAGACGATACAAAGGGTTTTGATGTTCTTAAAAAATAGATGGTTTAGGACCCTAGAGTTTTTGTTATTGGCTCATCTTCCAGTAGTTATGAAGGCTTTTAGAAACTTTTTTTCTCATGATGACTGAGTTGTAAATACTTGTACATGAGTTGCACCCCCTTGGTGCTTATAGTAATACATTTTATACTTTTTACTTCAAAAAAAAAAAGAAAAAATCGTGCGGGTCAGAGAACAATTTTCAGTAGCTCAAAATTTTTACAAAAGGATGGAAATTCCTTCATTTTTGTCTGTTATCTTTTCTTTTTTTTTTTTTTTTTGGCTTTCCTTTTCAGTATTCTACACTTATTTACCCAAAATCTGTCCTAACCCTTAATTTGCCTCTAAAACAGTCCAACAATTAACAATTAAAAGCCCTTGTTTCTGCCAAAATGACCCTTGAACAGTGGAACTTAAATCCCAAAGCAGCAAACCGAGGGGCTATGGTTCAGTCCTAATTTAAGATAGAGGTTCAGGTTTAAGCGCTTGCCTTGAGCAAGATTAGCATATATTTTGATGTACTCAAAAAAAAATAGCATGAAGCAGCAGCAGTTTGATGGTTTGTCCTGTCTGTACGCCTAATCTATAACCATAAACACATCGTAATGAACCTACAGAACTCTACAGCTTCTTTTCATTTTTATTTTTCTGTAAATTACTCAGCCGTGAGCCCTGAAAGTCATTTTCAACTACCATCCACAAAATTCTGCGCTAACATTAAGCTCCAGCTACCCAATGATGAGCATGAGCACTTTAAGATCTTTCTTTGTCGATGTTGCGTAGAGATTGACTGGCTACCATTTCTCGAGGGTAGTTTCATTTTCTCTATTTTCTTCCATATTTTTTCCCTTTTTAGGAGGATGCCCAATCCTTCATTTGACCTACTACTCTTTCTTTATCTAATAATATTTCTTTTCCTACCCTTTAGAAAAAATTGAGTTTGTACCCACAATCAACTCGAGACTCTAATTTCATATCCACTGAATTAAGTTTTAAACAAACAGCTGCACTAAATCTTTGATCGAGCATATATAAGTTGCAGGTGTATCAGTATCAATGGTGCACATAATCAATTCTAAATTCTAATTTCACAGTCACCTAATTATGTTTTAAACAAACAGCTGCACTAAATCTTTGATCGAGCATGTATAAGTTGCAGGTGTATCATTATCAATGGTGCATAGAATTTGCAGTAATTTCTAAAATGTTGCAGGCAGATATCTTCGAAGTTAGCACTGCTTGATGGTAGGTCTTCATTGGAGTGGGTTGTCGGAAAAGTGCAAGAAAGAATTATCCTAACCACTCTCAGAAGATTAATGGTGAAGAGTGCAAACAAGTCAAGGTTAGGCCATTATATTTGTGAGTAAATATTCAGAATTTGTTTTGTACTTTACGTCTTTATGTTAGAGATTTTACACTGTCTTGTGTGTAAATCCTGATGCAGGCACTCATTTGAGTACTTGGATAGGGATGAGACAGTTGTAGCTCATTTGGTTGGTGGAGTTGATGCCTTCCTGAAGATTTCTCAAGATTGGCCACTTTCAGATTCTCCATTGAAACTTATATCTCTTAAGAGCTCAGATCATCACTCAAAAGGAATTTCCTTAAGCTTACTTTGCAAGGTTGAGGTGAGCACCCCAGTTTTTGCTTTTAAGTCTGTTTAATGTCATTTATGGCTCTAGAAGCTTTATTGTTAAGTTGTTAAGCTACTATATGAAAATGTTCATGTGGTTTTGGACCACCAAAGTGAAAAATAGCATGACAAACAAAAAGCAAAACCACATTGCCTGCTATGATTTCTAAGAGCATATGGTTATTCCTCATGATCTTTGCTGGAATAGCACCCTAGCTCCCCCTCTTTCTCTTGCATTTGTTTAATGGTTCTTATAACAAACTTTTGACTTGCTGATACTTACCTGTTTGCTAATTCTATTCTAGGAAGTGGCAAATTCGTTGGGCATACACATGCGACAAAACTTATCAAGCTTTGGAGATGCTATTGAAAAACTACTCATAGACCAAATGCGACTAGAACTCCATTCAAATGATATGATCGAAAAGTGACTACAATCCAATTTTAACAATTATTGGCAAGCTAAAATGTTATTGCTTCCCGTGTATGTAATTGTTGAGTTCTGTCTTCAGTGCCAATTTTCCTGCTGATGAAATTATCAGTAACCCCGCTGCAAACATCAGATCCTTGAAAGCTTTGACAGGAGGATACAATTTGGCACCATCTTTGTATATGCTTATGATAATCATGTCACTTTGATTGTCTATATGAGCAATTAGTGCTTTGTTTTCTGTCATTTAGATCTCTAACATCTATCATGCGCACTCAGTTGCATGTCTCCTTGATGTGGTTTCTTAGTGGAGTGTTTTAGTGTTTTTTTTTTTTCTACTTGATATATTTTTATTTATTATACATATATATATTACTTTTTTTTAATTAATAAATAGTGGCAGAACAAGTTCAAGCAGATTTTTACAATGCAAATCCAAACCTTTCCTCCACCCCCCACATTTAAAAACATGCTTCAACTTGTACTGGCTTGGTTTTGGTTAAAACCCACAGCAAAACAGAGAGGGAGAGTCTGACAGATCAATGAAATCCACCATTTTCTATTTATTATTTTTAGTCTTATTATTATTATTATTTTTTAATCTAAAGATCTCTACTTTAACTGTTCTCTTAAAATTCATACATTTTAGAATAAAAATTGACAAAGAAAATAGTTAGCCTGGTATATATTTTTTAATAATATATATTTACTCCAAGTAATTTAAAGAACTTTTGCTGCTTCAAACACCTTTCTTTCACACGCTCCAAATTATAATTGTGGACTTTCCTTGTCTTACAGAGTCATAAAAATCTGGATTTGAATTTTGACAAGTTTCAATTAATTTCTATTAAATTAAAGGGAAAAAAGAAATGCTTGAAAGTTCAGTTTCCTTGGGTTATATGGGTGTTATAGAATTGCATAAACTATTTGTCTGCCTAAGTTTAAAATAGTTAATTACAGGGACGAGTTCAACTTGGTTAAAATAGTGTATATATTTTAATTTTCAGCTTATGAAAGAAGTTTGAAGACAAGGTCAATTTTGTTTAGAATAAGAAACCTGTGCATATATACCTAATAGTCTCCCTCTCTTTCTCCCTCCATGTATGTGTGTGTGTGTTGATATACACGCAGAGAAAACAATCCACCTGGTTAGGACTGGAAAAATGGAAAAACTCCCTAATGATATAACTGCTGATATTCTGTCGAGATTGCCTGTCAAGTCTCTTATGCAATTCAAATGCGTGAGCAAGCCATGGCGTTCTCTGATTTCCAGTTCAAAATTTGCCCAACTGCACCTTAAAAGATCAAAGCAAGACACCATTACCAACCCTTACAAACTCCTGATCACAACATTTCCTCGTCAATCTATCGTTGACCACGAAGCATCAAGCCATGACAGCAACAAGGAGTTGGAAGCAATATCAGAGCTTGAATACCCAATTAGAGTTCCAGATCTCGAAGCTGAAGTCGCAGGATCTTGTGATGGGTTGGTCTGTTTGGTGGTTGACTACGACAACTTCATTTTATGGAACCCAACTACTAGAAAATCCATGGAGTTGCCAAAACTTAATCTTTCTCCTGATCAAGGTATTCCTTTTTTGGTATTGGCCATGATTTTTCTCTTGATGATTACAAAGTAGTGAGAGGTGTTAGCTTCGAATCTTCTGATGGGTCTAAAGAAACTAGAATTGAAGTCTTGACATTGAAATCCAAAACTTGGAGATCAATGACCCAACACCATAGTTCTGGTTATACTTATACCATGATGGAAGGACCTAGTGTTTCTTTAAATGGGGCTTTGCATTGGTTGGAGAGACCAGGAAACAATCAAAACGAACCACTTCAAATCTTTTCATTTGATCTGGGGGAGGAGAAATTCATAGACTTCGTGCCATTCCCAGATAATTTCATTGATGAAACAATATTGTATTTGAATATGGGTAGTCTAGGAGACTCGCTCTATTTACATTGTTATAGAAGTGGAGAATGTTTTGAAATGTGGGTGATGAAAGATTATAGGGTGAAGGAATCTTGGAGTAGAGTGTTTTGTATTAGTTGTCCAAGTGAGAGACTTCCATTGTATGAGTACTGGGTCACAACAGTATGCTTCACAAAGAATGGGAAGCTTGTGCTGGAGGTTGATGGAAGGGAACTGGTTATGTATGATGGTGAAGAGCAGGGATTCAAGAATTTTAGGTTGAATGCTGAATGGGATTGGTTTCATGTGGTTCGTTTCCAGGAAAGTTTAGTTTCACCTTGTGGCTGTGATGATAATGTTGATAGCTAAAATTAAAAATTGTGAAGGATCTTTGACAGATTATTTTATGATCTTGCAGGTTGTTGATTGATTATAATATTTGTTGGGAAATTTCGAGTAATTTTTATGTTAATTCTATGTATAATTGAAGTTAATTTGTGATTATTTTTTTATTAACAAGTTAATTGTAGAATTAAATATATGAATGGAGTTTGGTCTAAATATTCATCAAATATGGAATTATGATTAACTTTTATATACTGATTGATTAAATAAATTTAATTATATTTATATATCATTATTTTGGTCAACTCTGACTCAATTTTTATGTTAATCCTAATTTTTTTTTTTTTTTTTTTTGCACAACAATTTAATTTCTTTTTTCAAGAACACTGACAACATGTTTATGAATTATTTTAAATCAAATGTATGTTAAGAGTTAAGAGATCCAAGTTAAACAGAAAAAATAATAACTAAATTACTGTTTAATTTAATGATTTGTATATCGAACTTGAATTCTACTTTCTTATCTATTTTTATTTTATTATATTATAATCTATATATACATATATATATATCTATTATCTATTTTTAAAATAAAACCAAAGAATTTCAACTTGTTTAGAATAATAGTAATAAACCATACTATCAGCTCCTCAGCTTCTGAAACAAGCTTAGAGACAATGTCAGCTTCTTGGAAACCACACTTGTTTCTTATTCATTTATCATCATTGATTCTAATAAATAATTATTGATGGGACTAATTTTAAAAAATAAAAATTAAGAGAGATAATTATAATAATTAAAAAAAATTATGAACTAAATTAGAAAGGAACTTAAAATTTTTATTAAGAAAAAAGAATAATAATAATTTTATGGAGAAGGAAACAAAGAACATTCCCAGACTATCCCCTTCCTCCATTGACAATATCAATAACTGCAACAGCTGCTACGACTTGAGTCTCATATCGAATAATCAGAACTTGTCGTGCTCTCTTCCCTCGCCGTAGAACGACCCATTTATAAGTTCTGTAGAGCACGATCTTCAGTTATTTGGCCGAGACTACTATCACCTTTTGGGTTCATGTAATGGGTTTGATTTTCCTCCACACTGACTACCGTACTCTCTTTCTGTGGAACCCATTAATTGGATCGTTCACGAGATTGTAGGACTCTCAGGAAGTGAAACGGGATCTGGAGGTTTTGCGACATATGGATTTGGTTATGAGAAAGTAAATGGCGACTACAAGGTGGTAGAAGTAGTCTGCCATGGCCAAAGGACAAGTGTTGACCAAGTGAAGGAGTTCTTGATGAGGTACAATTGTTGGAGAAGCATTAAGGGACTTCCTCCTGGCATTGTTGTTGAGAAATACAAAGTCTGGTGTATATGGGAATGGTGCTTTAAACTGTGATGGTATTTGTCTTGGCAATGGTGCGGTACAGTCTCAAGGTCGCCTTCTTCATCGTCTTCTGTAATTGTTTCTTACGATCTGTCAAGTAATAAGTAGCAGGAGGTGGCACAGTGGGTTTGTGAAAGTGATTGCTTTGCGCTCACACTTGGGGCTGTGGGGGGGTTGCCTACGTATGGTGTGGTATTGCTGCAGATGTGGTGGTGATGTTTGGGTGATGAAGAAATATGGGGTTAAAGACTCATGAAGTAAACTGGTGAGTATCAAGGCTTGGAGGAGTATGTTGAGAAACACTCGGAAAGAAGACTTTAAAATCTCTCGTGAAGAAGGCTGCAAAATTATAAAATAAAGAATCGTTTCAATTCTCTTAAAAAGAACAAGGTATCACTCGCAAAAAAGTCAAAACACAATATATATATATATATTGTGGACAGGAAAGAGTAAATGCACTTAATAAAAAATATATAGTAAAATAAGAAATAAAATTAGGATAAAATGAATTCATTGCATATAAATGGGCTGCCTTATATAAGCATACAATCAATATAAATGAAAGTCATACTCCTTTATTCTCTACCACCACTAGCTTCTTTACTAACCAAGTCATGTCATTTTATTCTCTACTACTAATTTCTCCACTAATGAGTATTCAACAAATCTATAAAGAATATGAAACCAAAACCTACTAACTTCTCCACTAATGATAAAAACAAACTCTAACATCTATTTTAATAAATTAAAATAAAATAAACAATAAATTTGATCAAATAAAGAACACGTGCTGGTTGGTGTTGTAACTTTAACAGAGTATACAGAACCTATGTGAATTTCCAGAAACAGTGAGATAAACTCGATCAAATAAAGATCACGTGCTGGTTGGAGTTAAGAATCTGGGTTAGCTGCTCTCTACAGTTCTAAATATGATGCATTTCAGTATCTTTTGATTGATGGGTTAAGCAGCAGTCATGATGCAAAGCTGTGTGTTGAGAGTTTGGTTTCTCCTTGCGGGGTAATTGGGATAATGATTTTTTTCTGAAAACCTTTTCCCTTTTCTGATGTTGTATTGATCTTTGATTGTTATTTTATCTAATAAAGCTCGGAATCCTTTCTTATATTTAGAGGTTTCTATTAACATCCAAGTGAACAAAATAGAGAACAGCTATCTTTTTGTTTGCCTAAGAAGAACTGGGCTGCAAGCAGTCCAGACTTCCTGCAAAACAACATGCAACGCAAACTAAATCCACTTTCAACATAAAAACATTTTATCTCACTGGTTTTTAACATTTTTTCTACAATTAAACAAAGTTTTGGTTTGATGAATGCCATGGCTCTGCTAATGAAAGCCGCTGGATATCAATTTTCCAGAGTCTGATCAGTCATCTCCTCTCCGTGTTTGGACAATTTGTCATATGTAATGGTGGACTTTCTAGTGTCTTAATCTTTTAAATAACTAGCTATTATACAAAACCAACATGGTACTCACTATAAATGCTTACTTGCAGTACTGAAAGGAAGATCATATTAGGCAGTTATCTATCTGATGCCAAGGAAAATGGTATGAAGGAATTTATGGAAGCTGCACCACTACCGTAGTTCACTATATTCAGAAAGAACAAATTATAGTGCACAAATATAGTCGGAGAAGAAGAAATTGATATATTTTATTAACCAAGACTATAACATAATATATCAGTATACAACCATATCGAGAGTACACAATTAAATGCAACGAATGACTGATCTTTACACTTCTCAACATCTCAAGCATTCTCCCCCACTTCCCAAGTTGTTTCCGCTGGTCGAGGACATGATGCTTTAAGAAATGGAACATCATCCATCAACAATGAATTGATCATCTTGATTGTCTCCCTCAACCCTGGTGTCTCCATGAACCATCCCATTCACATGATGCAAACTCTGCATCATTTGAGAAAGATAATGGTTGCTTGCACCAGTATGGTCGGAGAGTCCAGCTGGGTGCCCAGCCCACTGGGAAAACATCCCGATTATCTGGCTGGTAAGGTTTTGCTGCTCATGAAGAATCCGGGTCTGCATCTGTCCCATTTCTGCACGGTGCTGATTCAACATATCATCAATCCTCTTCTTCCATTCCATCCTCCGCCTACTCATCCTCTCTTCCCATTCCCTCTCTTGAATCAACTCTTCTTCTCTTCTTCTTCTTTCCCTTTCTTCGAACTCCTTCTCCATAGCTTCCCAGTCCTGCATCCTCTGACTCTTCAACTTTTCCCAAGCTTTCTCTCTTTCTTCTCTCTCCTTTTCCCTCTGATCCAATTTCCGTTCCCATTCTTGCTCACGTTCCAACCAAAGGCTCTCCCTCTTCTGCCTGTCCCGCTCTCTCTCCACATCACGTTGCTCAAATCTACCCTCCATTTCCCGCAACTGCCCCAACTGATTGGCAAGAAACCCAAGTGCTTTCTTCTCCAACCCCTTCAACACCTTCCTCTTCTTCTTGAGATTAGGACCACCGGGATCCACTTCTTCATACACAAAACCATCTTCACCATCCTCCTTCACCCTATCATTACCATTATAGTTTTCATCTCCTTCTTCACCATCATACTCAAACCCCAATCCCAGCACCCCATTTTCTGCAACATCAATCCCTGCAAAATCCCCATCCCCGGAATTAGCCATTTGCCCAAACTCCACCATATCTATCCCTCTTTCTCCGCCAACAAAACCCCCATCATTCTCTCTATCCTCGTTTGCCCCAGCTACCATATCATGACTATTATTACCATTAATACTATAAGAAGCAGGAACATCCCCAAAAACATCCTTGTACAGCAAAAAATTCGCCCAGTGAGTCAGCCCCTCTACCCAATCAAACTCATCCCCATTACACTCGACACCCGAATTCTCAACTGACAGGTCGGGCTTCTTGATCTTTTGCTTCACAAGCAAGTACTGGTGCCTCATATTTTGCACCTTTGTGGAAACATCTTTCCAAGTCCATTGCCAGGGGAACGCGATAGGATCGCGGAGATGGTGCACGGAATTCACATGGACAGCGATGGGTTTATACTTTTTCTCGCGTGTTTTCATTTTTGCGAGAGTTCCATCAGAGACCATCTCCCCATATTTGTCAATTAGGGTTTTCTCCTCAACCTCAGTCCATTTCTTTCTTCTCGGTGGCATCATTTGATACCGATATCAACAGCAGTACCGATACCAATACGGACTTCACCTACAAAACTAATTTCGAGACCCTCGCATATACAATCGTATGGCATCGAAGAGAAATCCCAAAACCAAACCAACCCAGATCAAAAAGTCTTCAAAATCAAGAACCAAGAGTCCGGGACCTTACCTTGACCAAAAGACTGCAGAAGAAGTGATGAGTGAAGCTAAGGACTTTGTGTGGATTGGTGGAGAGCAAGGCGGTGAACACAGAGAGAATTTTCCAAGAAAAACCGAGAGAGAAAGTGATGGAATCTATCGGAAAGTGATCTGTGTCGTCGAGTTTAAGACTTTCCAGTCTTGAAAAAAAGCGAGAGGAAAGCGACGAAAAAGTTGGGTTAAAAAAAAAAAAAAAACATGAATTTGCAAAAAAGGACAAGAAGGGAACAGTCACCGGGTTCTGTTTACCCCGGAGGACAGTGAATCCGGCGTTTTTACAGTGCCGGGAAATCAAAGTCGATGGCAGAATTTGATTGGTTGAATGGTAAAACGTCGGCGCAATCCGGAGATTTAAGACCTATTTGAACGATGTTTTAGTAAAAATAGTATAATTTTTTCAAAAAAAAAAAAATTTTAAACATTTTTAAAGACATTGTACGATTTTTACTGATTTAGTCGTGATTTTTAATACTATTTTTTTTTTATTTATTAAATTATTTTTCGCACAATTTTATAACATGCAAACATTTCCATCTTAGAAATTTAATTATATATATTTTTTTATATATAAACATGTAATTAAATTTATATGCTTATATTTTTTATTTAATTATATTGATTTTATTTTATTTATATATTTTATTATATATATACATAAATTTATATATTTATATATGTATTAATATATTTAATTATATATTTTTTATATATAACATGTATTTATATATGTAATTAAATTTATATACTTATATTTTTAAAATTATATATACATGTATATAATTTATTTAATTTTATTGTATCTACATATATTTATATATTTAATTCTATATATTTTATTATATATATAACTAAATTTATATATTTATATATGTGTTTATATATTTAATTATAAATATAGATGTATGTAATATTTTCATTAATATATTTAACTAAATATATTTTTATATTTTTATATTTAATATTTTTTTAATTTTTTAATTTTTTATTTATTTTTATATACAATAAAACAAAAATAAAATAGATAATTTATTCAAATATATAATCATGTTATATTATTAATATAAATAAAAATAATTATTACCACCATACATTAATTAATTATTATCTAAACATATTTAAATTTAAATATTAATAAATCTAGCATACATCGAACTAGTATACAAATCATTCCATCTGGCCTTTAGGAATTGAGAGAATTTTTGTCTTTGTTTTTCAACCGTAAAAATGTAACAAATAATTAGGTTGTTGCCTTAAAAAAAAAAAAGGTCTCTCGCGGTACTTTTTTCACCATTTATATTGGTTACTTTGTATATAAAATATTTATTTAGTTAGTTTTAATATTCCCGAACTCATTAAATATATTTATATATATGGGTATGTATAAGTTTATTCATTTGTAATTTATGAGGAAAAAAAATTCAATTGAAATTCTTTTACATAAGAATTGATATATAATATGTTATATGATAAAAAGACAATTAAAAAATATATGAAAAATAAATAGAAAATATTAATATTAAAAACAAAAATGTATTATAACGTGTATAATGGTAATTATAAGTGTACTCAATGATCTTTAGATCATTTAATGTTTGAATTTTTTAATATTAAAAATTATATTCAAATAATTTTTTAGAAATAACATATTCAAATGCAAATAATTATCTCTTATATAAAGGTATTTAAATAATAAATACCGATATAATGTAACACTGGATTCATCTAATAATTGAATATTTATCGTACATAACACATCTTAATAATTATAAATTTAATTACATATTATTTAATATAAATAAGTACGAATTAGGTAAATTAAAATATTATTAATTACAATAAAGCTCAGACACTAATTCTCTCACAAATTTGGTTAGTGTCTAATTGTCATGCAAATATTATAAACTTTCGTTAGTAGTTGCTATCAAATATATGATATAATTGTTCATTAGTTGGGTAGCATTAGTTATTACATCATGCAATAACTAGTAGCATCTAGGTACCACTAGATGTTACCGATTAGTGTATTTATATAGTTAAACAGAATATATAATATATGATGAATTTGTTTGATAGTAAACTAACATTGGACGCCACTAATTACCGTATATAATAATCAACATAGTATTATAGACGATGATAGTTAGTTACTACCTCCCACAACGATTGAGAGACAAGTAAAACACGTAATATTTAATTTTTCGGCCAATTTCATGATATTAATAAACCTTTTTGTTAACATGGAAAACTAATAAGCTTAGTCAATGGTGATAAACAGGCTTTGACTGTAATTGACATGCTTTTGTAACTATAGTGATAAAGATGGTTGGTTAGAAAAATAAAACAGCAAACATATATACATATAAATATATATGATGTGCCCCTTCTAATAATAAGTTCCAACAAAACAACATCATCATTATGTATTGAATTGAAATTGCCTGTAAATTGTGGCTTAATTTAAATAATCTTTAGTCAACTAATGTAGTTTTGGAGAAAAGGATTAGTCCTAATATAGAAAATCTATGAGATATCCACAAGCTATAAAAGAAATCTGTTAATGAAATGCAAAAGAAAGAAAATAATTTTGTATCAAAAATATGTTAGGGTTCAAATCAGCAACACATCCCCATATCTTTCTTTGATCAACAAAACTTCTTCCCATCTCCAACGTGTCAGGAAATTCCCTTCACCAAAACTTTTCTCAGCATACCAGTGAGAATTTTGTCCGATTTTTGGAAGTAGCAAATGCCATGGGGATATATGTACGTGAAAAGTTGAAATCTACCGTGTGCTGGTCATGATTCAACGAATCTAACTATCCAAACTTGATCGCCGACTGGAATTTGAGTGTGAAAACATGGGTGTTTCTGTCAATTGATTACTGTTTCCCATATCTTTTGTTTTGTGGAGGAGAAAAGTCCCAGATAGAATTGTTACAAAACCACACAATTCTGTTGCAATCTGTGATGCGTTTTGAGTATCCCATTCCTGTTTTTGTAACCACTGGAGTAGGTCATTACAAGGTCCAAACTCCAAAAGATAAGAAAAAGTAAAGAGCCATCAGAAGGGCTAAGTACAGAAAGATGTATTTGCATGCATTGTGGTCAAATACATCTACTTGCAGACATTACCTTGAACATGATCATGCTGGCAATGATTGTAAATGTTGTAAACATGACATAGTAGACTGGAGATATAACAGCTGCATTAAAAGTATCCAGAGCCTGCCAAGGAGGAAATATTCATTCTATACTTAAAAAGTATTCACCAGAGCATACAATTTAACCTTGAGCCAATTGTACAGAAAATTATGCATTAGTAGTTCTTGAATCGTAAATATTAAGTCCAAAGGAGGAAGAAAACAGAAAAAAGCTTAATAAACCAAACCAATATTAGGATCTTCTCACCAATTCTGTATAGCAAAACGAGAATGATTTATTTATTATCCTAACCACAGATATCTTATGTGCAGAGTCAGTTATTACTCCAAAGACCTTTCGGGGGAAAAAAAAGAACTCAGGAAATATTATCTTGAAGGGGCTGCAAAGCAGACCAGCATACTGAGTTGCAAACGATGTTGTGATTAGAAGGACTATACATATGATATCATTTTCAAGCATTAAATGGAGTTGGCAATAAAAATATGAAAAAAGGACAAAAGCAAACGAGACAGTAAATTTCTCAACGCGTACAGATTGGAAATAATCATTATGCTGGCACAAACGGAGTTATTAGGCATATACACAAACAGAGTTTAAGCGCGTCTGCATGACAAGATACTCAACAACTCCACAGGTCTCCACTCACTGAAAAAGTACACAGATGGTGAAACTCAATACATGATGATCCTAGTATTCTATTCACTTTAAGACATGGATGCCGCCCCATTTAGGACTTGCATACTCGAAACCCAACATTTCCAAGGACATTGTAAGACTTTTATGAATTGAGACTACAGATATATTGCTTCCAGAAAATGCATCTGGTTAGTCTAACACCACCCTAACCATGCCTCATAAACATTGCTTCTTCAAAATCATTGAATTAGCTTTCTTTTCCCTTTTGTCTATTCTCAAATTAGGCAAAAACAGCTAGCTCATTTATTAGTGAAATGTCCATATTATCCAAGGAACGGATACTACTAGAGATGGATATCTCGCAAGGCATATTCGTATGAAATTTTCCAATGATTTATTGATCATGTTCCTCGAGGAATTGTTTGTTTCCACAAGCATAAAACACAAGAAAATGTAGGGAATGCTAATTTTCATTCATCTGATTGTTACTGATTTTTTGTAATGGACAAGCTGCTAATATTCTTATCCCACAAATGAGAGGAAACGGCACATGGTAGCATCTTTTCAAATTAATGAATTTTCTGGAGGTGAAATATACTAATGTATATTAATTGCAAGTTTATCACCAAAGAACACAATCATAGCAGTGCCTGGGTCTCAAAATCAATAGCTCATTTTGTGGTTCTTGCTAATATGGCCAAAACTTTTGAAACACATGAATTTTCCATAAGATATTTGTAATATGAGGCTTTTCAGTTCAATTAAGACACAAATTCTTGAGCATCTTGAGGGAAGAAAAAACAATTGCAGAAAAGTTTTTAGCCTCTTCGCTTCCAACTCAAAAACTCCTTTATTCGAAAAATTCTAAGACTGTTAGTGGAAGATTGGGAAATTGAGTATCTAAGTTGCAGTACCTTGTTCAAATAGTTTATTTGCAGAAGGCAACAGACGATCACAACCACAGTGAAAAACCATGTCTCAAAGAAAATGAATTGGTTCATTCCTGAAAATGACAGCTTCAATGCAATTCCCACTGCTTTCACGCTCATAACCTATATATTTAAATATGAAAGGATTCTGAATTTTTAAAAAATTGAAACAACATTACAAATAACAGAACTGAGAATGATGTACAGACCGTGAGGGAGCCCATGAGAGAGCAAATCCCAACATATACTATCATATGGCTCTGCCCATAACGTGGTACGTATCGGAAAATAAGAATAGCAACTGCAATTAGAATTAGGGCACTGTAGACAAGGAAACCTGAAATAACATTGTTTCCACATTAATTTGATGAAAATAAAGTATTCCTCCTAGCAGATGTTAGTATACTGTATTTCAAAAGGTATGCTAGTGAGAAGAAAAGCAGGCTCTTAACTGACCTAAATTCTGAATGCTCCTTAAACTAGTACTTACTAATGACCTCATAACAATGATCATTTGCTATTGCCTACTTGATATGTCTTAACCTTTGCACCAGTAAGATAATAAACTAAATATAGCTAAACATTCTTCCCACCCAAATCCATTTGAATTTTTGTATATATCAAGAACAACTTTTATGTCCTCAGTTAAAACTAATTGGAAGTGGAAATTAACGCATATAGATGACAAAAGCTACCAATTTTATACTCATGAATCATTACACAAATTAAGGATATATATATATATGTTTATAAATATTAGCATAGGCAAGTAATTGGAATTCCTTCAAATTGGCCTTAACTGGAGCAATCAGATATGAGAATGGTTGAAGTTAATATGTACCTGGTTCTGTTGCAAGGTGCCATACTTCCTTAACAGATTCAATATTTTTCTCCTGTGGAGCATGTAAAACGATAGTAGTAGAGCCCACCACGCATAGAACACAGCCAAGCATGCCAAATATATGCAACTTTTCCTCCAGAATAAAATGTGCAAGCACTGCACTGCATATCAAAGTTTTCTTCACAATGATGCACAACACCCTCAGAATGCAAGCAAAAACAGAACTTGTCTTAAATGAGTATACCTGAAAATAATACTTAGGGCTCCCAATGGTGTTACTAGAATTGCAGGTGCATATGCATAAGCTGCAAAATTAGCTATCTCTCCCAAAATCACTGGGAAAGCATGTTAACTATGTCAATACAAATAAGACATGACACTAAACTAATGAAATTCCTAAAGAAACAAAAATTCTAGAATGAAAACAAAGAGGCATAATAAGCAAATTGTAATGCAGGACCGCTATCCTGTCTGGAAAAAAAAATGTTAGTAGGATTAGTTCAAATACCAATTCTTTGAAATATAAATAGGAAAATAATAGGAATTTGAGTAAAATTTGAAAGAAAATAGTTTCCTAAATCCATGTTTAATTAATTTAAGTTCCATGAATTTGTGTTTCCTGCATTGACAAGTGGAAAAAACAACTCTATCTTATAGAATCAATGTATATAAGTATAGAGTAGACTCAATTGTCAATTGAATATGAACATTAAGGTAATACATTTTTCATGCAAGGTGATGAAAGCTATGAATAAATTGGGAATATGATAATTTTAAACAAAACAGGGTATCAAAGAACTTCCATTTAGTGCTAATGTATCGTGCCAAACATGTTGATATTCCAGTAATGCTCAAAACTCCGAACCAGATGCAAAAATTAAAAAAAATGGAAGACTACTGGTTATTCTGTCCTTTTACGACTAAAAGACCTACAGCTACAAAGTGCTAACTGGAAATCTTAAAGCCAATTGCCCAGGATTAACGCAAACCTATATTTACCTAGTCACTTCTATATATTTCTCTTTCTTTCTAAGACACCTCTTGGCATATCATCAACCACAGGTTGCTGAGAACAAAACATAGCAAACAATAAACATAACAGTAGAATCTCACATGTCACAGCATCATGTGTCTACATGCTTTTTCCACAAACCATACAGTGTTAGAAGGAAAAAAGCAGAGGAAATGATAGTGCTACAAGCTTCATCGTGTGAAAGAACTGGAAGTGTTACGAACTTACTAGTTATCATCCCAATCCACCACCAAGGTTCGTACAAGTAAGAATACCCTCCTTGACCTGATCAAATGGAGGTGCAGCGTAAACAATTTGATAGAAAATATATCAATGACAAGGTGATGGTATAAGGATGAGATATATATACTAAATATCACTTCAGAAAAACACGTCGTCGTTTTCTAATAAAGTCTTCTCTTCTTCACATGATTGTGGTCTCAAAAGCAAAATCCATAAGCGGTACTAAAACTTCTGCATATTAAAAATGGAAATTAAAAAAAAAAAGAAGAGGAAAACCTGCTCTTGTTCCAGTAGCACCAGCTTTCTTCAAACCCTTTTTCTTGATAATAAAGCTAGACCCAATAAAAATACTTGAAGAGACCGCCAAGACAAGCCCACGTACATTGTCTGATGATATCCCCATCGGTTCAAAGAGATATTAAGCGAAAATCTCCCAAATTTGCAGGGCCAAGACTCCCTATGTCAATTCCTTCATCCAGCCATTCGAGAAAACACAATCACAATGAAAACCCATAAACCAAAACGTGAACTTCTGATAATTCTTTAATTAAATATCAGTATAATCATTTTCCCCTGCTCTGTCCTAGTTCTACCTCTCTTTGGTGTAATGCATATTACCCAGAAAATTAACTATACACGCACGCAAGTTAATTGCATGAAAATGTTCGAGATCCCACATGTTTTCACCCTAAAAGACAATCAACAAGATATACAATCAAAGAGGTTCAGGGTTTATAACAAGTATACATATTCATCGACCATATACAGAGACGTGAACGTTGATGATAAACGATGTAAAACTACAATACACGTTGGTGGTGCCAAAAAGAAAGTATTGAAAAGGGTACCTTGGGGCTGCAATCTTGGCGCACTGCAAAGGAGAATGTGGCTAACAAGCCATCTCCTCCATGCCAAGGACAAAAACAATGGTAGTCTTGAATGTTGAAGCCGATGCTGATGGCGTGATGGTGATGTGTCTTTGTTTTTGAAAGCAAACAAAAAAAAAAGAAAAAAAAAAAGAAAAGAAAAGTTCTGCGTTGGAATTAGACGTGTAAAATAGAAAGAGGGAGAGAGGTGGAGAAGTTGCAGAAGGCGAAGAAGGCAAAGGACGTGTTCCGTTACATGTGCGTCTGGGAAACGAACGGAAAATACAGCCACAATTTAAGATGTATTCCGGATCCCGCGTTATTGGCAGGTGCTGGCATTGATTTTTGCCTTTTGCCCCCTCCTATTTTATTTATTTTCATAAATGCCCCTCTGCTTTCCTTAAATTTTTTATTACTGAGCTGGTGGCAGCCTAATAATTTTACTGAAATATTAAATGGCAAAATCTCTCTGTATCTTTTACTTTCCTAAACTTAAGGCTAGTTTTTATGTGTATATATATATATATATATTTCTATATAATTAATAATAAATTATTATAAATAAAACAAAATTAATTATGTATAAAAAGTTTTTTAATATTTCCGATTAAGTAGAGTTGATGGATATTTTTTAAAGGAAATAACACACACACACACACACACTCTCAAGTGAGACATATTTTAAGTAACAAACTTTTTATAAAATAATACTGTGAATAATTACAGAATTGTATTAATTAAATAATTGTGTTAATTGCAATATCTCATTATTATCTGTAATAATATTTTATTTAGTCTCTAATATGTTACTATTTTTAAAGTTGATTATATATAGAATCTGAAAATTTAAGAAGTAAATTTCATAACTAAGCTAGTTTCTATAATCTTTTAAATTTGCCTAAAATAAGAGAGGTATTATGAAATTTATTTTAAATGGGGACTAAAATTTCATAATTTTGTTCCGCTTCAACATTTTCTTGTATTATATGACGTAATTATTTAAATGCATATTTGTTTAGAAATTTATTCTATAAAAATTTACTCCATAGTTATAAAAAAAATTGACTAAAATTACGAATTAAAAATATTTACTAAATAACTTGTGTTACATAGCTTAGTTTTTGCATATTATCTATGTAACCATGAATTTAAATCATACAAGCATGTATTATTTTTAACATTTTATTACTCATTTGCTATGACTTCACTCCAAAAATGATTTTAAGCCCATAAAATATTAACTCATATTTTAATATGTCAAAATTTAATAACTTATCATAGTATATGAGAATATGAGTTTGATATAAGCATTTGTGTGGTACTTTTTTTATTATTTGATGAGAATAACAAGAACAAACTTAAATATTACACATTTTATGACAAAACACTCCGACATGATTGCACTGGTGAGCTGAATAACGTCGGCGAAAGGTTGACAATGGAAGTAGAGCCCGAAAGACACCAAAAAATCTGATTGGCTGGAAAATCAGCACAACGATTATCTTCTCTGTAAACATATTGAATATGGATCATCAAATTCCTAGTTAGACGAATACTAATTACTTGAATGAGATTGGAGCATGCATTTATCTAAATCAATTCATTACAAATAATGCTGTTTAGAACCTGACAGTAAGCAGACTGTCAATCTCGATATACTTTACTCGCACTCATATTCTAGATCATATTC